CGAGTCGGTAGACTGAGACCACACGGTTGGTCAGCACTTACAAACTACCAGTGAGACTCAGAATGGTACAGTACATTTCCGGTACCACCTCACCCCTCAAAGTGCGCCTTCGAGCACGGTAGTGAAGAGAGGTGTGGCGTATCAACGAGGAACATGCAATGGTATGCCCGACTCCACCCATACGAACAGCGTGGAATGTGCTATTAAAAACAACTAGTCTTATGCATAATTAGACTGCGTATTTGTCTTATATTGATCTAAAAGCCTAATGAATCTTCGAGCGCAAGCACCTCTAAACCTTTCTCTGCCCTCTTATGACCCTATCTCTTACAGCTTTACACCAATCCTGATCTTGACATACATACCTACGTCTACCCTTCCCTATGCAGGAGAACGTCTACTATCTCGTCACTTATATCTCTTTGATGACGTCCAGAATGAAAGGCTTACCATGAAAGCGTTGTTGGGAATGACGGAGATCGGTGTTTCACCGATACCAAGCGTTCTCAGTTGAGTAATATAGCGGAACATTTCCGGTGCCCATGATGGAAACTTGTTACCGGTGAGATAGAGGTATTGAAGATTGGGTACACCCTGAAATAAGAAGAGATGGCGTTCAAAAATCATCTTGTATTTAGCACATCCATAGGATTTGTATAAAGGAGAGCTTGGGGGAGGGGCCTCTACAAAGCGTATCACCGCACGCGAGTCAAACTGGATAGCGCTCAGGCTTTTGGCCATACGTTTTCATCCACCACCAATCATTTGGCACTTCCCCGTCTAGAAGGGTAGAACCACTGAAATGTTGTCCTCTAGGTTCCCAAGTCGTTACAAAGGCCCACTGGCCCTTACTCAAAACTGCTGCCATTCCGGATCGAAGGCAAATGCGTGCGGTACCCTCAAAAGGGTTGACAAACGTTTGGGGTTCTCTCCTTCCCTCTTTTGTTTGCGTTTTGCTTTGGATTTCATCCCTAACCACAACGATCATGGAACAAAGAATCCCTTGGGTTTATCACCAAGACGGTTGTTTATGAATCAGAACAGCTTTTTGTAACAACTCATATGACTTCAAAAGTTTTTCCTTCGTTTTTTTCGGAAATCTTACCTTCCTTTGTAAAGTGGAAAAAAGTGGCATAGTCAACTATTACTAACCCAGGAGTCAATTTTTTTTTGCTAACACTTTTGGCGTCACTGAGGCGTAGTTCAGCTTCCTAACACGAATATAGCACTTGTTTGGCGCTAGTGCCAATAACTGACGCCCAGTTGGCGCCAGTTTGGTCCGCCAACTTTTCAGCAGATTCGGGTTGTAACTTAGCATAAAAGGTTATTGATGTGCCTGTATCACAATACATGGCTTAGTTTTTCGCTGCTGACGTCATTTGGCGCCACACCTCTTTTTTAATAAAAATCGAGTAAAACCTGCAGAATGCGGTTGTTTCGTGCACTTGACACGAATATGACACTTTTTTTGACGCCCAGTGCCATTTAGCGCTTTTCTGAAGCTATGGATAGGGAAAGTGTAATTTACTGCAAGCCTTAGCAGAACGCAGATGATTGCAGCGTCTTCCATCAGCGCTAGCGCGAAAATGGAATTTTGGTAATCAGCAGTCAAATAACTCGCGTATACCAAGTTTTCAGCGCGATTTGGCGACCTAGCTGTGATTTGGCACTAGCCGCGCCGTGTGGCGCCGAGGCCAGGCGGTGTTTCAGGGCTGACTGCGGATACGATTTTTCCTGTGTTCAGGAGGCTCAACCTACCCCTGGGCACAGTTTCCTGTGATTTTGGCGCCGCGCCTGTGGCGCGGGCCAGGCGGTTTCAGGCCGAGCGGATGTGATATTCGTGTTCAGGAGGTCAAACTACCCCTGGGACAAGTTTTCAGCGATTCGGTGATTTAGGGTTTTTGGCGCGGGCGCCGGACACTTTGAGGCTGTGTGGATGTGGTATTCGAACCCCTAAAACCCGATTTTCAGCCAAATCTGCCCCCGTAGAAAAAAGTCGATCAAGATCCGGCTGTTTTCGGAAAATTGGGGTAGTAATAGTTGAATAGTGCCGTCAAAGTTGATGAACACACTTGAAAGGCTTGCGGTGGTATGACAGTGATTCCATTGAACTCGAGCGAAAGTGACGTGAGATTAGGAAAGTCCAGAGCGCCGACAGGTACCTGAACGGGCAACTTTAGAAGGAGAGCTGAAAATCAGTAAAAATCGAACCATGGGACCTCATTGATGTTGTTCAGACCGAGGTTGAGATTTGTCAATGTGCCACGCTGATTCACCAGGGCCGCCGATGGAATCGCAGTCAATGCATTCGTCTCGAGTGAAAGCTCCTGAACAGAGAACTTTTATGATCAACTTCTACATTTCAAGAGTGAAGGACTCTACTAGCACCACACCAGTGGATTTCGAATCTCTTGGATGCGGACTTGATTTCATGGTTGAACTTTTACAAAAAATCATGAAATTCTATCAAATAGGACATAAAATATGAAAAGAACACAAATAAAATAACTCTAGTTCGCTGCGGACGGTTGGGCGTGTCAGGCAGTATGAGTGTGTCACGCCGTCAAAGCCGTTCTCTGCCTTCTTGTTGAAGCGCGCATGCGAAAAAAGTGGTAGAAAACGAGTAATACGAACGATATGATACAGTCATATCATTTGCTCGCTTTAACAACTGGTGGAGAACGGGTTTGGCACCGCGCCAAACTCATCCCGCCTGACACGCCCAACCGTCCGCAGCGAACTACACTATAGTATGCACTAGTGCAAATAAAAGGGCAAGTTTTGGGAGGGGGGCATTTTGCACTTCCACTGCTTCACTACTTCCGTTTACAAGTCTCACTCTGGTGAAACTTGTGAACTCTTGTGAAGCTGGAGCAAGCTCGTCTAGCCACCATGGTAAAACGTGTCAACTCAAGAAAAAGCTATTTAAATGGGTCGATCGATGGGAAGAAAAATGCCCCCCGTCGCTGAACTGAGCCGGGAAAACAGTTCCAGAAACGAAGAGGTTAGGGCAATCTTCCGGACTCCCCAACCACGTAAGTCAGTGATGTATGGGCACGAGTTGAAAGGAGCGGAGTGGGGGGGGGGCACCAGTCAGAAAAGCTCTGCTCTGTAAAGCCCAGTGGAAGCAACCATGACGAATTTCAAAAGAGAGATGACTGCAGAAGATGGCTTGGATAGGGGAAGGTGAAACGTCTAAACAAAAGCAACGAACACCGCGGCGGCGCGGGATCAGCACTTGTGACAAATTTAGCAAGAAGAAAAAGTAAACATTGAAGAGCTAAGCATGGGTAGCGTACTGGTTCGGCATACCGCGCAGTCATAGGCAGGATACGCAGACTACATCGTTAGGAGAATCTCATCAAGGGGTCACATCCGGTCGCGGGGGAGGAGAGGTGGGGGGGGCGTAGTCGTCTCTGAGAAGAGCTCTTTGGAACACACGGAATTCTTCTCTGGTTGTGACTTTTCACGGTTTCTCTCGTTCCATGGTCGATATATGGCTCCCTAGTCGCCAGTGCTGCAGATCTATCGTACAATTCTGTTCCTGATACTTCTGATAGCTAAAAGGAACTGATTAGTGACGAGTCAATTAGTGATCTCGCCCATCCCGCTCCACCTCAACGGCTATTTTTTGAGGAAAACAGATAGTTTTATGGAAAACTCTGAAAACTGATAGGAAGCTAGGCGAACTTAGGAAGACCAGGTGGTGGGGGCGGGGGCTGGTGGGGCTGGTGTCGCATCAGATGACGAAATTCTGGAGGATACGAGGGGTCGTACTGACACCGCCATTTCTCCAGCAGCATGCCCGCCTCACCACACGATGGATTTCTATACCTAAAAGATATCTAGCTAATCTCGCCTTTCTAGAAGGAAGACGTCTATGTGCTGGAAAACCTTCTAGAAAACCCGGGCCCTCCCTTATGCCTTATGACTTTGATATACAAGAGAAGATGTTACGTTACTGGTTCGGCATACCGCGCAGTCATAGGCAGGATACGCAGACTACATCGTTAGGAGAATCTCATGAAGGGGTCCATCCGGTCGCGGGGGAGGAGGGGGGAGGGGCGTAGTCGTCTCTGAGAAGAGCTCTTTGGAACACACGGAATTCTTCTCTGGTTGTGACTTTTCACGGTTTCTCTCGTTCCATGGTCGATATATGGCTCCCTAGTCGCCAGTGCTGCAGATCTATCGTACAATTCTGTTCCTGATACTTCTGATAGCTAAAAGGAACTGATTAGTGACGAGTCAATTAGTGATCTCGCCCATCCCGCTCCACCTCAACGGCTATTTTTTGAGGAAAACAGATAGTTTTATGGAAAACTCTGAAAACTGATAGGAAGCTAGGCGAACTTAGGAAGACCAGGTGGTGGGGGCGGGGGCTGGTGGGGCTGGTGTCGCATCAGATGACGAAATTCTGGATACGAGGGGTCGTACTGACACCGCCATTTCTCCAGCAGCATGCCCGCCTCACCACACGATGGATTTCTATACCTAAAAGATATCTAGCTAATCTCGCCTTTCTAGAAGAAAGACGTCCATGTGCTGGAAAACCTTCTAGAAAACCCGGGCCCTGCCTTATGACTTTGAGATATACAGCGTGCCCCGACTTATGTACAATCAGTTTGTCGGCGCTAAACTTGTGTGAGATAATCAACGTACTGATGTGAACAGGCCCCAATACAGGGACCCTCATTCGGTACCTGTAGGACAGTCACGGGAGACGGGCAAGAGAATCGTAAGTTGGCGCTTCGTTGCGTGCGGCAATGGGCGCGACGTTTCCTTGATTTGCACTACTCTTCCGATGGGAGCATCGAATTTCACGTAGACAAGGACATGGTAGACTTATGCCTATTTTTGGTCATACATTGTCCATTCTCGATCCAATACCACCCAAAATCGTCTTCATTAGCGGTCGCGACGTCGCACGCGACGCCCACTAGCACTGCGAATTACGATTCTCTTGCCACATATCCCGACAGTCACTTCGTAAAAGTGAAAGAGACTCCTGTTCATTCGATCCCCACGTAACGTATGACCCGTAATTCGTTCTCTCCCGCTCTTTAAACAATCCGAATCCCAGTGGTCCAGAGAAAAGCGAGGGCTCCTGCAGTGTTGAAGCGGCGTTTTTATTTACATAGCTGTAGGAGAGGCGGCTAGGTGGCTGACTGGACAACGGGCATGCAAACGAAAGATAATGAGTCACACATAAAGTACCGCGGATGGTGACGTTCGAAATATTTAGCCACACCTACGAAAATCGATTGAAGGGATTAAGATCAAAAGGATTTCCAGAGAAGAGTTAGGAAAGCCTAATTCTTCTGGACCTGGGCAAAGATATGTGACTTCTTGCCTCAGTCTCTGACAAAGCAAGAAAATCTGTACTCCGTCTCAATGAACTTGTTATATCGTAGTATCATCACCACTAGCTGAAATAATGAATAGAAATAAATATCCGAAATAAGCTAAGATTAAAAGGAACTCGTTTCTGGTCAAATGGTGAGACCACTTCAAGAACGTAGAACTCGTCGTGATAAAATGAGCAGAAAAAAAAAACGAACGCTTTTTGAATTCGTCGGTGTCAGCGGCGGGAAGTGGTGTAGTGACAAGTGGCGCGCTTACCACTCGCGCGATGCCGGGTTCATCCCGGGTCGACTCCCGCCCAGGCCAACCAAGCCTTCTACCCTCCGGGGACGGTAAATTGGTACCAGATTCGTCTGGGAGGATAAAACACTGACTTGTACATCGGCTGGCCACCGCAAGTCATTGTATAGGCCACATCGCATTCAATAAGCCACTACGATTCTGAATGGAAGTAGAATGCGTGCCGCATCCCACAAAGGGATTGATCAACGGCGAAGACTTTCATCCCTATCCTTTTAAGTTTCAGCGCTTCAGTCACCATTAAACACTTTACTGCTGAGAACCGACATTTTGCAATGGCAACGAACCATGAAAACGCATTTTCTGTGCTGTGTTGCGTGCGTGGCCAAGT